GAAGTTATACCGTGGTAAGAAACCTGATACTAGTGATAATCATACAACACACTGTTCTAGACATGTCACTCAGTAGATTTGTTAAATTCAAAGGTGCACATAATATCATATGTGTTTTTATGACATAATTGTCTACAGTTTGATGAATGTTACACCATTGCAGAATTCTATTCTGAAAGTCAGTCAGTGGAGTAATTAAAAAAAAAAGTGACTATGAATGCAATATAAATTTAACTAAATATGAAATAAGCTATTTATTGAAGAAGTACACTGCATTCTCAAGTACATTGTTCAATACTGTTGAAGTTGCGTACATACTTAGATAATATATGAAATTAGGTCATTGTTAGTATGTAGCTTATCTGTGGGGATTATGCACTGAAAGGTTTAGGATTGCAAAGTTTGTAAATAGATCTTTAGATGCTTTAGATTTTTAATAGTAAAAGAGCTGTGGTATGAGAGATGATGTAGTGACTAGTGTAGGATGGATGGATGGTTTGGTCATGTAGAAGGAATTTTCATTTTTTTATTATACTAAGTGACGGGACGAACACCTGTCCATAACAGAAAAAGACGATCTATTTCTGCTACCAACAAGTTATTTAAACATTACTGCGTTCCCGACTTGAAAATTACAGGCATGTGGGTTTTGTCAAGTTAAGTCTCAGGGTGACGGGCGCAGTGGTAGTGCCCCTCAGAACTTTGTGATTTAAAGCTCTGAGTGGCACAGCAGCTGTTATCGACAGGTGTGTCGCTTACCACCAGGCGCACGAGTTGTTCGTCCCGATAATTGGTATCCTGAAAAGAAATGATAAAGGAACCATAAAGCGAAAAGACTCTGTCCTTTACAGTAAAGCAATTCTCCCGCCATCGTCATACGTCTATGAAGTGGAACAATTCATGGAAGAAGATAACGCGTCGAGCGGTCAGGTGGGCACAGCGCCATCGGACCGGATCAGGCGCAGGAAGGGCGTCTACACGCGCGACAAGAACCGCCTCTTCTTGAAACAGTTCGTCGAGTACAACGGGGGCGGAATTATTACCATCAAGGTAGACATATATAAATATTAGATAACATCCCATACATTGCTCCGAACCCAAAGTAAGTAACTAATGCACTTGTGTTATGGAAATCAAATGGGAAACAACGACGGTACCACAAACTCATTGACCCGGCTGGGGATCGAACCCGGGACCTCAGAAATGGCGACACCATGAAAACCTGTGTGCAAGCCACTCGACCAAGGGGGCTTCATTTATAAGAAAATTACAATGAAACTCTTAGGGAAGTAATTATAAGTTTTTTTTTATAAAAAGAACCGACCGATCGGTTAACGGAAAGTTTTCGAAATCCAATAAACCGGATCCATCGCCTAATTTGCCACCCTTCGAGGTGAAGTTTTTTCTTCACATTTGAATGGGCCCACTATTTAGGTACCCTCTTTCTAACAAAAAGAATCATCGAAATCGGTTGACTGATTGTCGGAGTAATCATTTAACATGCACACAAAAACAAAACATAAAATACAGTCGAATTTTTAGAACCTCCCCTCTTTTACAGCCAATTAAAAAGTAACCCATAAATATTAAGGTACTTTTGCAACTTTGCATAAAATGTTCATAATTGGTGTGTAATTCCCCCAGATGAAACATGCAGACCCTTGTTTCAGAGCCTTGGTCTGTTGCCACTACCATCATTACATATATACGAAATTTGTATCTTTGTACGAAAACACACATATTTGTTTAAGAAAGCCTGTGATATGAATACTATACTCTGCAGAAACCCGAATAGACTTGTACTTGACACTATTCCTATGACTGCTAAATTCAGTAAAAGTTGTTTAAAAATGTGTGTTGACATATATAATAAAATACCACTTGAGATTAAACTATTACACATAAGTTTATTTAAAACAAAGCTGTGCAAGTGGTTAAATAAAAATAATTTTTATGACCTAAACGAAATATTTGACAGGAAATGTGAATTAAAATTTTATCTTCAAGATTATCATTCTCGACAAATTTAATTTGTAACGTGACATGTTTGTGACATTTTTTTATTATTGTGTTGTGGTAGTCTGATTGACATTATATAACTAGACATTTGCAAGCTATTTAATATATGCGAAACATGTTTGTACTGGCACTGTCTCTTGTAATATCCTTTGTTATATCATGTTTTAAGCAAATAAACGAATTATTATTATAGTAAACAGAAATGAGACTCCAGTATATTCATCATAATCCAATATTTTCACAATAAATCCAAAAAAAACAAAGCCAAGTCCTTTCTCGTCAAATACGTTTTTCGTAATGGTGGCCGTCCGTCAGCGTTCCATTTTTATCCCTTTTGTATTCTTATTGTATTCTTATTTTGACATAATTCTTAATCAAACAAAGTGATTTTCTATAAAAAAATGTCAAACTTGCCAACATTTGGAACTACGGTGTTGAATTGTTAGTCAAAGGAACGTCGATTTTGCAACTACAGTACACTTATGAAAATGTAATTTATATTTATGTTTAACCCATGCGATCCCGGTTCCTTTTATCTGTACAAAATTTTATAAAAAAAATTAATAGATTAGCCGGCAGCTACCTTGTCCAACGCATTATCATAGGCATACAAAGGGCGAACATAGCACTGCCAGTGTCTTGGGCACCTTGCCGCGGGGATCCAATTCTATTCATATAATTTAATTCTAGTTTTATTTTCTGGTATTTAAGTTTTCATTGTATCTATATTTCAACTTATTGTCTAATAAAAATTTGAGATAATAGATAACGTCATCATGTTAAGTCTGTTGGGAAAATATTAAATTGTAGAATTTTACATGGGCAAATGTGCAGAAATTTGAAAATAATAAAATGTGTAATAATAATTTATTGTAGCTGACCTACATGGTCGATTGGGTTACACACTGCTTTCATGGTATCCTGCATGAAATAAAATTAAGGTTTGCACTGAAATGATAATTATTTTCACATATTAGTAAGTGAATTTAACCACCAATTTTATGTTCAAACATATCACATCACTTCCAGTACTAGATCTTTTTCAGTTTTAGTTTATATCAATTTAAAACGAATTTCTCCCACAGAAATCAGCCCTAGACAAGTACAACATCGCCAAAACAAGCTTCGATCAACTCTTTACTGGCAATCCTCCCGAATTTCCCTCATCCAAGAAGCTACTCAAGAACGGCTCCACCCCTGGGTCTAAGAATCCGCCCAAGCCAGGATCTGCGAACAAGAAATCCGCCAAGAAACTCAGCCCAGATAAGAAGAAACAGGAGAGTATGGACAAGTTTGTTAAGAAGGCTGATAAGAATGATGGTATGTTTTTTAATAATTTTTTTTATGCCTTTCTTAAAAGCCTCTGTTTCCCTTCTAAGATAAACGCTCAATTATAGAATGCGGTATTTTCGAATCGTGTATTTTATATACATAAATTTGATTTTTTACTTCATTCTTGATCGTGTCATACGTTACGTTAGCAGAAAATGTGAACGGTAACCACGTTTGGGTGACCTGCTATACAGAACTCTATATATATAAAAAAAAATCCTTCGATCCGGTCGGATTCGAACCGACGTCTTCTAGCAAACCGTGCCAGACGCTATGCCAACTAAGCCACGGAACGAACCAACGGATCTCACGAATTTCTCTATGCGCTTGTTCGTCGGATCTTTGTATTTGGTTTTCAACGACTTTTTAGTCTAAGCGCCATCTATGAGAAATCTATGAAAATATTTCGTCGTCCAGTTAGGCAACTTTACAGCTACTAGCCCTGACTAGAGAAGTCGCTATTAATTGTGATTAAATTTGTATTGAATTGATATTCAATTATTTTTTGTCAAATTACTCCACTAGTTTGTTATAAATAGTTTATAGTGTTCGATCTTTGTATTAATAATTATAACAAACTAGTGGAGTAATTTCACAAAAAATAATTGAATAACAATTCAATAAAAATTTAACCTTAACTAATATTTATACAGCATCAAAACCCAAACCTCCCGCGGACCCGGCAGCCAAGAAGAGCGCTCAGGAGCTGGCTGAAAAGATGCGCCGCGCCGAAGACCAGATGCGCCAGCGCAAGGAAGAAGAGAAAGCTAAGAAAAAGGAGAAGCACGCTCGGTTGCAGGCCTATCTCAAGGAGTGGCAGAAAGTCAAGGATGACCTCGAGCTTGAGGACCATAAGGTGAGCTTTTGAAGTGTGCGAGTAAGTAAGTTTAAGTGTACATATAATGTACCACACACGCTCAATGTGGGTTGTAGATAAAAATGTAAGTACCACCTAGAATAAGTTCAAACGTGCAAGCGTCCTCCTCGACGATCCCACACAGGTGCAGCACAGAATTATTACTGTTCAGATTGATCTATTTAAAACCCATTTATTGTTGTATGAAAGTAAAATCTGATTAACTATTAGAAGGCATTGAACAGACGTCGTTGTTTATGATGTTATAATCTATTCTTGAGAGGATGAGGTTGTTAGTATTATAAAAATAATCCTGTATAAGTCGGTTGAAGGCTGTTATGGAAAATAAAAATTCTATTGCTGGCGGTCTTCTGTCGGTTTTTCTCGATTTTAGATGTTTGTTCTTGTTCTATTGTCTTGAAAAACCTAAAAAAACAATAGACATGATGATAAATGTAGCAGTAGAGCTCCTTGTGAAAGAGTCCGTCCACGGAAGTTCTGCCACCTTGCCTATTTCTGCCTGCTTAATGTGAGCATTACTGTGTTCCGGTGTTGAAGGGTAAGGGTGCTGGTGAAATTACAGGCACATGGGACTTGTTAACTTTAAAGGGTTGTAACCCTAACCAGCCGTGAACAGGTCCACAAAATTTGTTAAAGAAGTAAAGTTTGAAGAAAGGCTGTAACAATATAAAGGTAAATGTAAAAAAACAGGTATAACAGTATAAAACACTCCCTACACTTTATTATTAAGGCACTTACCCCTAAATGGGCCTAGAAACTGAATTACAGAAAACAGAAATAGATACATGAAGGGTGTAGACTTATAAATTATTACACATGATTAGCTTATTAACAGCTCCAACAGTTGTGGCGGTCGAGCTGGGAGTGACCGTGGTACGAAAACAAAATGAGAAAGTGAAGGAAGATGGAACAATTAAAATTTAAAATTTAAATACAAGTAAAATAAAAAAAATGATAACGTACAAGAGGAGAGAGGCGATACAAAGAGGTGAGATGACGGTGTAAGGAGGTCACACCGTCACAAACGTATGTCTCAGGGTGACAGGCGCCGTGGCAGTGCCCCTCAGATCTTTGTGATTTAAAGCTTTGAGTGGCACTCCAACTGTTATGGATAGGCGTGTAACTTACCTTCAAACGCACGGCTTGTTCGTCCCCTTACTTGATATTGTAAAAAAAATGTGCGTGCATGTAATTGTGACATTTCATCGAATCATATTCATGTTTGTTTCTCTAAATATTATCGACAGATAATTCCAAAAGGCACACCCATTGAAATAGAGGGCATACCGCACAAGCATTTCGGCGACTTCCTCTCAGTTCTCGAATTCGTCCATGTCTACGCCGACATTCTAAAGACGAAAGACGTTTTCCACAACGAGCTGGACTTGGAGACCTTCAGGAAGTCGCTGGTGACGAAGGACTGTGCCGGTGTCTTCAGTGACCTGGTACAGATGTTTCTGACTACAATATTCTCGCTGCAAGAAGACGAGGCAGAGGATTACAATGAGAAAGGAGGGATACAGGAATCCACCGGTAAGACTAACGCTATTTTCATTGTCAACCCATTGTATGTCTCAGTGCTAGAGACTGGTCTGATCTGGTTTAGTCAATAGCATAATAATATATAGTTTTTTTTTAATGTGACAGCATGGGGAAGTCCAAAACCATAGAAGATACAAGGGAACTATCTCAGGAGTCATGAAGTCCTTTTTTATGAAAACAATTTTCACATAGTAATTGTTTTTTATTAAATTGGATCAACTTGTGTGGTCCCAATTTTTTTCCGATACACTGAAGTCATCCTTATAAGAAACTGAGTCTATTAGCATAAAAAAGTATTTCATTAATTCTGTATGAAATGTTTTTTATGAAATTTGACCAACTTTTGGTGTCTCGTTTTTTTTCGTCCTATGCAATGAAATGATCTCTTCATGAAACTGAGTCGATCAGCACAAAAAAATTTTATGTACAACTTGCAACACTCTTGACCAACAAATTGGCTATGCCAAAATGATTTTCACAAAAAAAGACTTCATGGTTCCTAAGACACTTTCCTTGTATCTTTTATGGTTTCGGTTTTCCCCATATCTGTCCCATTGAAAAAAAAAAACCCCTGCATATTCCATCCATACTCACATTGTCTGGCATGTATAATAATGTGCCATTCTACCACACCAGTTACCTTGTCTTAAACATGGGGATTTCCTGTACTATGATTAACTGATTAATAGAGTAATGATACTCCTTAGCACTACCCAGATCACCCAGACCAGAAACAATTTAGAAAAAAATAATTTTCCAAACTAGTCTTATCGGGAACCAAAGGCGGGACTCCTCATAGAGCGCTCGAAGTACTAACAGCTGAGTCACTGACGTTGTCGATGTTAACGATAATAATACTAATAACGCGCACACACTCCTAGTCCCACACTAGGGAAACCCTGTTATCGCGGGTGCCACGGACAAACACATAGACAACCACAAATTACACCCAAACTCACGAGAGAAATAAATGTAGGCCATACAAATATTTCTCCCGGCACGGGAATCGAACCCGGGACCTCTGCGTGGCAGTCCGGTATGGTAACCGTTCGACCACAGAGGCATTACTTTTAAGCTGATAGTTTGTTGAAATAATATTTTATTTGAATATCGACTGTGAACTGGCAACCGGTACTGTTTCAATTTTAACAAAATCACAGGATGAAGAAAAAATCACTTATATGGCATCTGGTTTATCGAATAACATTACGTAGTGTACACACATGCACGCGTAATAAAAATACTTAAAAACTACGTATTTTTATTTAATAAACCAGATTTCAATATAAATGACGCAAACAATTTTTTCTTCACCGATATAGTACCGGTTGCCAGTACACAGTCAATATTTAGCATTTATACATACGTACGATGTGCTGTTCGGATTTGAAAGTGACTAAAGTCATATTTTCTTTTTTCAATAGAAGACACGGAGATCGACAGCCAGGTTGGTATGACGAAAGCCGTTGAATTAGCAACGAAGGCCAGCAAATGGTCCCAAACATACCTCGGCACACCGCTTAGCAAGCTACCACTGGATCCCACCACCGTCACTGAGGTCTTAAGGTATGTATTATGGTTTATTTTTATTAAATTATCTCAATGGTGAAAGTAATCTAAATATTATTGCCAAAAATGAAAATGTTAATGTATTAAAAGTGCATCCGAAATGTGTGGTCTGTTCCAATTAATTACTTACTGTAGCCGCCAGACCCAAAGTAGATGACGAACAGGAGCTCGACGACTCGTAAAATCAAAGACGATTTTAGTTGACTGTGTTATATTTTAAAATAGGTGACTGGTTAGTTACAGGAGTAGTGCTGTTAAATCGATACAGTGATAGTTTCTGAAGGGGTACAGTTTTAAAAGTGAACGGTCCTTTTGACCTTTTTAGTTACGTACAAAATTCGTCACAAATGTGGTAGGGATGAAAAAGACATATGTGGTGTTACTCGATTGGTTCAAAATAGGCCTACGTAATGTGCCCTTGACGAGCAGCGTTTTGTTACTGCTTTGGAAATTATGTTAAAATTACAAAATTGTTGCGTTCGCAACACTTACGAATTATAAACAAAACGGTTTGGTTATAATCTCAGTACAGACTATTAAAAAACCGACCCCAAAAGTCATTCATCCTTAGTTTGCCACCCTTAGAAGGTGGAATATTTTCTTCCCTCTTTCCAACAAGAAAAGAATCGTCAAAATCGGTTTTCAAATGAGTTATCGCGTAACATATATAAAAAAGTCGAGAACCTCCTCCTTTTTTTGAAGTCGGTTAACAATTCTAAAGCATTTCACTCAATAAATCGAATAAGTGACACTTTCACGTATATTTCAAACATTTCGACTTGATGTTTCAACAATTTTTCTAACAACATTCATTTCAATAACATCGTAAACTCGTATTTGAATAATGGTAGTCCAAAAGCGAGGTTATTTTTCAATTATAAATATATGACTAGTTCTAGTGACTGGGAGGTTCATTTTTTTTTTATAATAACGCACACACTCAACATAGCCCCACACTAGGGAAACCCTGTGTCGCGGGTGCCATGGACACACTCATAGACAACCAAAAATTACACCCAAACTCACTAGAGAAATAAATGTAGGTCATACAAATATTTCTCCCGGCCCGGGAATCCAACCTGGGACCTCTGCGTGGCAGTCCGGCATGGTAACCGTTCGGCCACGGAGGCATTCAATTAAAGTTTTTGGAATCGACTAGTAAATCGAAAATTTCAATCGTAATCGAACGAGTATGTAAGTGTAAGGATTTGAAAAGGAATTAAAATTAAGATTTCGGAAATTTTAAATATGCTTTTATAGACTATGGAAGGAAAACCACTAGTTATAATTTTGTAATTCTATTTATGAAATAACTCAGAACCGTTGTTCCAACTGATTCAATTAAACAAATCGATTCATTCAATTAATCGATTTGTAGTTGGCAGTACAATTGGCCATTACTAAACCGTCAAACAGTAACTCGTTTGTTTACTTTTTGTTTAAAATGGATTGAAACGAACCTCTCGACCTCCTGAACAGACTGCACTTCCTGTCATCGGGGTCGGCGGCGGGCAGCCGCTGCGCCACGTGGCGTTACCATCAGCGCGGCGGGTACAGCAGCCACGACGACCCGGGGCTGCGCCTGCGCCTCACCTCGCCGCAGCTGCTGCGCAGGCTCGCCACCACGCACGTCGCCGACTTGTCGCTAGGTATACACATTCGAACGTTTGCTTTCTCTCGGTTCGTTTTCGCTGCGACGCACGCTTGTTTCGTTATCAACCTAAGGAACCAATGATTAACGTTCTTTTTCTGTTGCTTATTTTATATAATATTATTGTTCTTCAATTCACAGATGACAAGTTCCTGGTCTTGCAATGCCTGATGAATCAAATACTGACGTATGCGACAGTGCGTGACGTCATCGAGGAGAAGCTCGAAGAATTCAAGAACACCAAACAATCTTTGAGAATGTTACAGGTATAAATTTACTGTTTCTGTGATTGGTTCAAATTGATCAGAAATAATTGTGAGGCGCCGTTGTACGCTGTTCTCATTTCACTTCCCTATCATTCTAATTTTATGAAAACCTAAATTAATTCCCTAGTTTCAACCATGAAACACACCGATTGCGGATTAAGTGTGTTGTTGTACATATAAATACACGAAATTACTCCCGACCATCTCGCGCCCGGTTCGCACCCGCTTTCTGTGTATTTCACTTAGTAGTGTAGTCTATTTGGCTTCCGTAAAATTAATGAAATAAAGTTAATGCGACAGATAAACGGCGACAGCTTCCATCTCATTCAAAATTGTTTATTAGTTATTGAAATTATATATTTTTTTCATATTTTAATGTCATCGAGTATATAACCAGAAATCGAGACGAAATGTCATTTAATTTGTTTGAAAACTATTCTGCCGAATTATTACGGTGACAACTGCGCTCCGATTGGCCAGCCGGAATTCGAAACAGTTAACGGGTGTCGCCAATTGTTTCACTTCAAACCGACCAGTTAACTTGAGCTTTGCTATAATGGACGAAAATTGCAAAATACAGAATATTTTTGGTCAGTTGTTGGCGCTTTACTATTTCAGCTTTCACATTTGTAATTTCAGTGCAAACGAGAGTTGATATTTAAAAGTGATATAAGGCCCATTTGCCTGATGTGTTGCCAGGGATGGATGGCCCTTGTCGCCACGCCTAAGGTTCAATCATAATGTAAATTACACATGCGACATTCTTTCTATCACAACAACCTTTAAATAGAGTATCTTTCTTCATGTACACTTCTTCTAACTCCATTCTACTTCATAGGACTACTACAATAATTGTAGTAGTTAGGATAATTATTGTCCTAACAGGTCCTTGACCTCATATCGATCCTCCGGATCTTAACTAGTGGGATCCTCTGGTCCCTATGATGGGCTTCCACACACACCCCTACAGCCCTTCCTCTGCCACCGCTTCATGCAACCTTGTACCTTCGGTACAAGTGGCAGTCTCATTCTAATTCTGTTACTGATTCGTCATACTCTATCTTCAGGCTGTCTAGTCAACAAATACTGTATCTACGTTAATAATAAACATTGTGCAAACTTACCAACTGTAGTGCCGACCAACCAGTGCACTCCCAGCAGATGCCTGATATCTCACCTTCATTTGAGATGCCTGTACTTCCGTGTTAGTATCACACTCACACACACTCTTAGGTATCACACATAACAGACTAAATTTATTAATGCTTGATATTACAAAAGTTACACTAAATCGCGACATAATTCGCGACAGCCCTTATTTCGTCTCTATTTCTGTTTATATACCCGATGTTTAATAATTTAATGTAAATTATACTTTCGTTTTTAATTACGTTTGGTCGTAGCTCCTTTTAGGCTCCAGCTGAAAATCAGCGCTGAGGCTCTGCCCAGCATGAAGCTGAGCTGGCTAGCCTTTTCCCCTATTATTGTGTATTTTAGTTTCTTTAATTTAATTTTTGAATTTTTATATATTTTTTATTATTATAATATTGAATTTTGGTAGATAAACGAGCGCAAACGCGAAAACCAAGTAACATTGGCCAAACAAGAGCTGAAAAAGGAATACGCGACGAAAAAGGAAGAACAGAAACTGACCGGCGAGAAGGCGAAAGCTCACGAGGAAGAATTGAAGCTCGCCTTGGAGAAGCTCGTGAAGGATAGTGAGAAGGAAAAGGTGGAATACGAAAAGAAACTGAAGGAGCTGCAGGTTCAGGTCTTCGACTATGCTTCTTATGTCGGTAAGTAAAGGTGTTTTTATTAAAGTGAAACAGGAAATTACTTGCTACCTATTTCTGCCGCCATGCAGCAATGTGAGCATTACTGCGTTCCGGCTTGGAACAGTGCTGGCGAAGTTAAGTTTTTTTTTATTTTAATCTTCATTTGATTTTAGGACTTTTGTTCTAGAGAACATGCCAGTCCTATTATAACTTTATTCTAATTGCCATGTAATTTACAGTACAAATGATTGTCTATATTATTATTATATTAAATGTACCACGTTAACTATCGCTGATTTACCACATCACACAACATTTTTGTATATTTTGACAAGGGTTCAGACAGAATCCATTGGTAGAAGTTGAAGTTGGAGCGGTTCAGTGGTAATAGAAACATTGTTTCAACATGCTTCCGCTAGAAGGAGCACAAGGTCTTTCTGTGCCTATACTGAAATTGCACTATACTTTTCTTATTTGGTTTATGGTTAACAGTGGCGAATGGAACACATACTGTTGCTCTTCAAGACTTGCGCGAAAGCGACGTAAAGTGCGAGATATTGTTATTCTCGCATAGAAATCCAGCGCTTTATTTCACTCTTGCGCAAGTCGCAGCCTGTCGTAGTAGGCCTACAGAATGAACACTGTATTTTTAACCCATTGCATTGTATTCAGGATATATACTAAATTTATTTTGTCAATAAGATAACAGAACTGTCAATTGCCTCCGTAGCCGAACGGTTCCCATGCTGGTCTGGACAGGTCTCGGATTGGATTCCCGGGCCGGGAGAAACATTTGTATCGCCTACATTTATTTCTCTCGTGAGTTTGGGTGTAATTTGTGTATCAACGTTGGGCGGTATACTATTCGTCGGTTTTTCCAAATAAGTACATGTTACTTTTTTAAATATTATATTAGATATTTATGAGATGGCCGCTATTCGAGAAAGCCATCGACCTGCGTAAGAAATGTATTCACCCTAAGGTAGAGTAAGACTAGAATTGAAAGAGGAGTGTTTCACGGGCACTGTGTGCGTGCGCAGGCGCCGACCGCGCGTTCCGGCGCTACTGGCTGCCGCGGCGCGTGGCGGGGCTGTTCTGCGAGGCGGGCGGCGAGGCGCGCGGGCCGTGCCGCGACAAGCCCGTGCCGCCCGCGCCCCCCGCGCCCCCCGGCCCCGCCCCCGCCCCCGCGCCCGCCAGCGCCAGCGACACGCTGGCCTACGTCGCGCGCCTCTTCGAGAGCGAGACCGAGCGCGGTACGCCGGCCGACCTGCTTGTTGCCTGTCCTCGCACATTGCACCTACTAGCAGCAATAATAATAAAATCGCTTATTCGTCTCCACACATTAGTAAATAAAAATATAAAGTTCTACACAGTGTTTAGTAACAGTGGTGGTGTAAGATAGAAAGGTCTGTAACTCGGCACAATGGCAGAGTGTCTCACAACACCGCTGATATTCTGCTACAGCCTGCCATGTTCATAAAAAGAAGAAGAACTAACGCACATTATCATTCTAGTTCTAAGATTTCAAGCCGATTATTAGATAACACACATATGAATCGTTATATAGATTTTTTTCATTACTTTTACACACAGAGCACTATCCTCACACAACTACACTACAATGCCTGGACAATAATCACTTAAAACACTTCTTACGGAATCTCAGTGGAGCTCCTTGTTAAAGAGTTCGCCCAGGGAAGTACTGCCACCTTACCATGGGACTTGTCAACTTATGTGTGTTCAGTGCACATCTTGGTGATTTAAAGCACTGAGTGGGACTTCATCCGTTATGAACAGGTGCACGACTTGCTCGTCCCATCACGTGTTATAAAAAAAATCCACATTTATAACAAGACGAGTTTCGAGTTTATGCGTCTTGTTATACTATAGTGTAACAAGACGAATAATATAACTCTGTAGGAACTATCTCTCACTATGACTACCTACAATAAGTTCGGAGTCTGCATTGGGAGAAACTGAAAGACCGCAACTTATAATAGTAATTTATTTGTATGATAGTCCCAAAACGACACGCTGTCACACTGAACCGACGGCTCACAGCAACAGTCACGCAATCCCATTCATACTTCTCGCTCATACTCAAAACTGCTGCCTCTAGCTTCACTCACGCTTACAGGGGTCCCTATAATTCGCACTCGCAACCATGCATGCGCACCGCTCTATTTGCAAACGAATTATTACAGAGAACAAATTATTATTCTTTTCCGCCTAGATATTACAATGTCGTATTTCTAGCAGGTAGTGACAAGGAGAACGATTCTGCAGCAAACTCCCGCGGTAACTCCCCGAAGAAGCCGCTGACAAACCTCAACGGTCTGACGCAGAAGCTGAACGGGCTCGAGTCCAACACACAGCAGTACCGCGAATTGCTTGTCTGCACGGGAGATATCTCTACTTGCTTTGTACACGGAAAGGTATGAAATAAAATAAAAAATAAATTATATTTTCGGCCTCAGTGGCGGAACGGTTACCATGCTGGACTGCAGAGATCCCGCGTATTCCTGGGGCGGGAGAAATATTTGTATGGCCTCCATTTATTTCACTCGTGAGTTTAGGTGTAATTTGTGGTTGTGTAATATGTGTGTGCCCATGGCACTCGCGACGTAGGGTTTCCCTAGTGCGGGGTTTTAATGCCAAACAATGTGTATAAATATTATACAATTGACCAAGCCTGACTTTAACTTGGCCAGTTTTATTGCATACACATACGTAGACAATACTTTTGCTTGAAATGATTCAATCGATTTAAGATTAGGGTTGCATATTACGGTTCATATGAAGATTGAGTATACAGAGTATACGAGCTAGCAATTTTTGTATCTATTCATTTCAATGTGATTTTTAATTAAATCGATTCAATATTATAGCGAATCGAATCATCTAGATCGTATTCGTAATTTAAACAGTACAGTCTCTTTCTAAACCCCTATTTTATGTTGGCCTGCAATAAATGCAGTTTGGCAATATCTGAGTACAACAAGTCTACAATATTTTGCGATTGTTGCTACTTCTCTTTCTCTTCTTTTCTCTTTCTCACTAGTTAGTATTACTTTAAATCAGGGTTTCTTAACCTTGTGGTTTATGGAACCCTAAGGAGTCCGTGTATTGAACGCCGGGGGTCCAAGACGAGCCTGCATTAATCTACAATACATTAGGTACTGTGCGCGTGATATTTTCAAATTTTCACGCCTGAAGCCAAAAAAAGGCTGTCAAAACTATTTTTTTTAATCGAAATTAATTTTGGAACGATTTTCATGAGATCGATTCAAGAGCATACGATCCCATCTCTGTGTATCGATACGATCTAATACGATCCAAAAAATCGATTCAAAGCAAAAAATCGTGCATCCCATTTATACTCTAGCCAAATTCTATGTAGAATAAATGTCAACAAACAAAAACATATGATTTTTAGGGTTTTCATTTCATACTCTTTCACAATTATCACAATTTCAATATTTTCCCCCGAAATTCAACTAGATTATGGATAATACTACATCTTGAAGTTTTGTTTATAATGAATTTTGTTCAACAGAAATTTCAATTCACCTGAAAATGACATAAAAGTGACCAGTAATTAATTATTTGTAAAACTGTGTCATCCCTAGTGACTTTTTGATTTGAATGGAGAGATTGCAAACATTCGAGTTCTGGTGGTAATTCTAGTTCAGAATCGGAAATAGATGCTGGACAACAAAATATGTGGTAACTTAATATGAAATAAAATCTTAAAATTTTGTTTCTTTTCGTATACCATTGCCTACCATCTAGCAGTAAATATTGATAGGATGCAAAAATTTATTTTTATTATTACTTCCACATAACCCAATTGCCTACTACCCATTTAAATTCCAATTAAGGGAGCAGGCCGTGGGCAGAGCAAGCCTTAATAATGAGCATGGAAAGAAATGTTGTTTTCCTATGCCATCATTGGTTGCCTAGCAACGTTTTGTTATTAAACATTCTACATCGAATTTGGTAGAGTATAGGATTACAATGTAAGGTAACGATGCACAAGTCTAGCACTGTTACTACTTCAAATACTTAGGTGAATATTCAATAAACCTTTAAATTCTTCACGATCTCTGTGGTCCAACGATTTGAGATGTGACTGCCGCTATTTGGTAAATGAATTATTTTAAATCGATTCCAGTTTGGGTGATCTGATTAGCGCTTCTGAGTGAATTCCGTTGCTTATAGTACGGGGAATTAGTTTGAGACCAGACAATTGGTGTGATTGTTTGGCACATTATTATGATTACAGGGTGACTTCCGCCCCCACTGGAGGGTGTACCACACCGAGGAGCAGATCGAAGCTCTCATCCAATCCCTGAACAAGCGAGGCGTCCGCGAGAGCGAACTAAGGCAGGCGTTGGAACTTGATAAGGCCAACATCGTGGAGTACGTCAAGAAATGCCCGTTGCATCATCTTAATCCGGACATTGCTCCGGTGAGTGTCGCCTTTACCTGATAACGATATTCACAGGTATAAAGTGCAGTATTTGAATTTCTGTGTTGACCAACGTTTAAGACAAGAACCAACCAGGCAATCTGCGAATAATCTCTAAAAATAAACAAAATAAAATCGGCTGTATTAGACATGCAAAATACATAAATAGCAATCAATTATTTAACTGGCTCTGTGTCCGAACAGCTACCATGCTGCATGGACTATCGCGCAGAGGTTCCGGGCTCGATTCGCAGTACAGAAAAAAAAGGAAATATCGTCTTGTACAGTTTCAAAATGGATAATAGTTATCGATCAGTCAAACATTGTTTAAGCTCAGGGCAAATCATGCGTCTGGGAGTATATATTGACTATTTTATTTATATCTTTGTACAGTTTGATCGTTTAGACTATTTTGATACTGACTGTACTTTGTCAGGTAGATGAGCAAGAGAAGTTACTAAAAATATTTTAATCTGGCAGCCTCCACCTGTGCATCACATGACTCGCAACAAGAAGTTCACTCTCTCCCTCGTGGTACCTGACGACAGCACTTTATCGGAGGCTCTGGAACTTTCGCTCAGAGATCACATACTTGAGCTGGAGGAGAAGATCTTCCACGGATGTCTGGGAGCACTTAAAGTCAAGGTTAGAGAAAGTACACAACACGTTGTGTTTTGCCATTAGAGACATTTACTATATGACGTACACACGACAACACGTCATGGCTTGCAGATTAAGGTCTGCTGTATCGGTTGAGATGTCACCTACAAGCATAGAAATAAACGGAGAAAAGTTAGACCTTGTTAATAAAGCAGTCTTCTTGGGAGTGACCTTAGATAGTAAACTTCAGTGGTTTCCGCATATATCGTCGCTGGCCAGCAGATTAACCTCCGCTGCATACGCAGTCCGCAGAATACGTGAG